GGAAGTGGTCTCCAGCTACAAGTACTTGGGTGCAGGAATGTGCGATATGGCATAAATTCATATCACGATATGTTTTGTGAAGGGTGGCGATAACGATATATATCGCAATATGTTTTTGGTATAAAACTTGCAATAGGAATTTTAAAAAGCATAGGGTGTCCTTTTGCCATCATTTATTTTTAATTAAGAAAATTCCACTACTAGGTCCAGAGAGTTTTTAAATAATAAACAAAGTATTAGGCTTCTTTCTTGAAGTGCAAAACAGTGCAAAAGATATCAAATGCAGTTTTAGCCATATGTTTGAAACAAAATAATATGTTGTTAACTCTTAACAGTTTCCAGTCGTCTCACTTAAGAAATGAACAACATAGCAGCATTTTACACTGAAACACTTCACCCTCCAAACCTCTAGTGGGCGCCTCCTTCCGCTTAAAGGAGAGCTGACACAAAATGAGTCTGTGCCTTTGATCAGAGGGTCTCGCAGTAAAATCACATAACACAGCGTTCTTTTCACAGATCAGAGAGCAGCTTTCTCCAAAGCTGACCAATGCTTACTTTAACTTTCGACGGAAAAAAAAAAAAAAACTTTTAGTCCCCCATCCAGAGGACTTCCTCAGCCTGCCAACCAGATCTGTCCCACAGGTAGCCTTCACTGTTGTGTTTCAAGCAAACGTCCAGTTGGAATCTCAAAAGTAGGTTTTTAAGATGTGCAAAGCACACCCATCCAAATCAGTCAATCTTCATGTACAACAATCAAATGTTTTAGGCCAGATGGCCAACTTGCTACTCACAGGAACAGCCTGAGGACAACCAAGGCCAAAGTGGTTCAGAAAAAGGGTTGTAAGCTCAATCATCCCAGTAGAGAACAACAAAAAATGTTAAATTGTGTCATCTGGACCAGTTTCTTTAAGTGAGAAACGTTTCGTCCCCCATCCAGAGGACTTCCTCAGTCTATGGCCTGCCAACCAGATCTGTCCCATAGGTGTAGCCTTCACTGCTGTGTTTCAAGTTAACCTCCTGTTGGAATCTCAAAAGTAGGCTTTTAACACCTGCAAAGCACACCCATTTTTTTAATATAAGTTAGCTAGTTTTAGCTGAAAATAAACAAATAAAAACAAACAAAATGCACTTTTTAACCAACAACTGCTACTGGTTCAGGTGAGTCAAAACTGTCCCTGCCGTTACTCTCCATCCTGAGACGAAAACATGTTGAGTGGAACTGGTGTCACAGCAACTCCCTCCCTTAAAAATCCCCTGCAAATTAATGTGTTTGTGAGACAGTCAGAAAGCACTTCCATCAGGGTGCTCACATTCACCTATCTGTGTCTCCTGAATCGTTAATACAAAGCTCTTCTGCCTGCACGCTGAGGATGTTTCAATTACAAAGAGAGCATGGCAAAGCCCCCACCTACACAGGGAAGATTATACTGTACAGTAGATATTATTAAGTACACCAGCCTTTCGAATGTCTTCTTGAGCCATGAAGATGTGAATAAATTTGACACAGAACCTCTCTGAGGCATAACATCTACTGTATACACGACGACAACGGCAAATAAGTCATGGAAGCTGACATCATGCAGCATCTGTGGCACACCACCCGAGGGTGTCTGCACTGCATCCTGATACTGTGTCCTCAACATCTGTCAGTTTTGGTAAATAATACCAGATTTGCCAATATTCAAGAACAGATTATAGGTCCCAGAATGGAGCAGGGTATAGGCCCTGCAATATGTTCAAGTTTCCAAATCTGCCAGTGATGGTCTTTAAATAAATTGTGCCAGTCTCTCTCAGAACAGCAGTAAAATCTGAAGTTATTAAAACAAAGGGGAGGGAGAGACCCTTTAAATCACACCAGTGACTTCCAAAATTATCATCTTTACGGGTGGCTGAATCCCGACTCTCTCCTTTGTCTGTCCTCTATGATCGCTCCACTGGAAACTGTACATGAGCCAAGTTCCTCTGCACTCGACAGATGCATAAAATAAAAAATAAATATTGAGCAAAAGCGAAGGATCATAAGCACACCTCTACTCTTCTGGTTTTATTAGGAGCGGACTGCATTTCTCTGGCCATATTACACGAGTGTGTCTGTGGGGGAAAAATAGCTGAACTGAAATTTTTGGGGAACCTAAGATGCAGATAATGAACTTTTGACTGGTTGTTCTGGAAACTGTTATGTTTTCATTGGTGAATTCAACAATTTTTATGTCAATAAAATATACAGTATAATGGTATAATAAATAGATAAAGAGCTGCAGTAAATATCCTGATGCATGCTCAATAATCCAGTTAGAAAAATCTAAAAAAGTTAAGTCAGGTCCTCTGGACGTTCAAAAAACAAACAAAAAAAAGTGTAGAAATGTTTCGTCTTTCATCCGAAAGACTTCTTCAGTCTGAGGAGCTGTATTCAGCTCAGTCTTATAAATAGCACCTTTGTTTGTTTGTTTTTCGAACGTCCAGAGGACCTGACTTAACTTTTTTTTTAGAGGTGCAGTAAAGTGTTTTTGCAGTGTGGCTGATCTGTGCTCACATTTTTCTGTTCTCGTGTCACTTCTTGCGTGCTATTCATCAGGTTTCATCTCTTATCTCGGTCTTTTGTTTTTATCAGCAGACCTTGATTTTTTTATTTTTTGTCTTCATTGAATTTGTGTTGAAAGAAATCAAACCAAGAACTTCACAGTCATTGTGAAAATAATTCTGAACAGACTGTGTATTTAAAAAACACAATTGGGCCTGTTGCAATAAACAATAAATCAATTAATGGCATGATAAATGAAAATTATCAACCTCATTTTCATTTATTGGCTTTATCGTTTCTTCGTGTCTCTCTTTCTGCTGGACACTGGATGACAAAAACACTAAATTCCGGTGCTCTTCACTGACCCTTCCCTTTCTCTTGTCTCTTTGTGTGGCAAACGCTATGCTAAAGAGCTCAAGCCACACCAAGCGTCCGCCATTTTGAGAACCAATAAACAGGAACAAGAGACAGCCCATGTCACGTCAAGGGGCCTCCCTCCCATTTTTCTTCGACACGCTGCTCACTCCCTCACTATTCATCCTTGGATTCAGTCTTATACTGCCATCCGGTGGTCAAAAAAGTTACTACACACAAATTAACATTTCTTCTTAAATTTGACAATTACTAATTATTGTCAAATTTCAATCAATATTATCGTTTAACGCAATAACTTCTGAGACAATTAATTTGTTATCATGACAGGCCTACACACAATTTTAGGATTTGTAAGAGTGCTATGTTCACATCCAAACTGGGAAAGAGATTACGGCTACTATCGCAAAATGCTCATCCCCATAAAGAGCATTTGATGTTAAGGCTGAATCAACTTTAATGCAACTGTTTTCCAGTTTGTTTTTTATTTTACTGTACACTTTTTGTAAGCTACCTACTTCTGCAATACTTTGTGCTGTTTTAGCCACTCAAAATCAAATAATTTTGCTAGCCAAGTAGATGGGTGATACTTTTGATTTTGGTAAACTTTTACTTTTTAAAAACATTTTACTTTATTTAAAAATATTTCCACTGCAGTAGCTTGGTGGTCAGTGCCGCAGTCTTGTAATCCCGAAGTTGCTGGTTCGAGCCCAGGTTGCGTCAGGAAGGGCATCCAGCATAAAACAAATAGCCAAATCTTTCATGCAAGTTAGACGCTGTGATGACCCCTGAAGAAGGGAGTAGCCAAAAGAAACTCACTTGTAGAAACACACTAAAACCTCTTCAATTTTTTCAAACATCAGTTAAATCTGCTTTAGCAGGCTGTTTTCATGTGCTGCTTTTAGCTAGCCTTTAGTTACCGTTTACAAGCCTTTTGCTGTACTAAAAACGAGCATTTTGCTACTTTTAGCTAGCCTATTGCTATTGTAAACAATTTTGCTATACTTTTAGCTATCCTTTTGTTACTTTTTACTATCTTTTTGCTAGCTAGCCTTTTGCTATTGTAAACTAGCTACTTTTATATATAGACTTCGGCTATTGTAAACTAGTCTTTTGCTACTTTTATATAGCCTTTTGTTACTTTTCCCTTTAAGCTAGACTTTATTGTAAGTTAGTCATATTACATTTGGCATTTGATTAGTTTTTTGCTGTTTTTAGCTAGCCTTTTGACACTTTTAACTTTTGGCTATTTTATGCTAGCTTTAGTAGCTTTATGCTACTATTAGTTAGCCCTACTGCTTTGACTTTAGTCTTTTAAATAGCCTTTTGCTACATTTAAATTGCTTTTTTTTCACTTTTAACTTTTAGCTGACATTTTGCTATTTTAATCATTTAGCTGGTGTTTTGCTCCATTTAGGTTTTAGTTAGTGTTCTGCTTCTTTTATCTTTAACAACTCAGGTTTAGCTTTTTCAGTAAATTTCAGCCCAGACATTTAACACTGTGTTTACTATGTATTTTTACCACAAAAAAAGGCTACATTTCTCTATTTTTCTTTTGATTTAAATCTCTTCAATCTCTCCAAACCAACACTTTGTCAGGTTCTTCAGTCTTATGTGAGTCTATTTTAAAAGTGTAAATGAAAAAATCCCAGGTTCAGACCTGGATGACTCAGAAAGTGAACATGGCAAAAAACAAGACGTGATTTTTATTTTAAATTTCTTTACATGACAGCTTAACCTCCAACTGTCTAAGTTCAGCTCCAAGAACATCTGTTTGAATTTAACAGAATAGATTATTAATAACAATAATAATAATAATAATAATAATAATAATAATAATAATAATAACAATAATAATAATAATAATAATAATAACAACAATAATAATAATAATAATAATAATAATAATGCTTTTGGACATTTTGTGAAGACGAATATCATCATCAGAGCTGGTCATTTGAGTCTAAGCAGTTTTCTACTATAAAATGGATCAACATTCATTCATAAAAATCACTCTGAACCGGTGCAACCAGAACTTACATCAGACATGCACATTTTAATATCATTATTTTTTTTAACTAAGCCCCGTGCTTTGTTGTTTCTTTACCTTTTATGTGGGTTTGAGTCAGGTGGATGAGCAAAATGAAGACAGGTACGTCCATCATTCCGAGGCTCTGAAGTTTCCCTGCCTTCATCGTCGCGTGAGCACAACAAAAAGCTTTTCGTCCTCCTTCTCCTCGAAAAAAAATATAAATGTCGCTCGACAGATAAAACCAACCGAGCCCCGCTCCGTCCACACGACAGCAGTTTACGTGCGTGGTGAGCACGACATTTTGAGGCTCAGTAACTTCGAGGGGGAAGTTGGAACCGACGAGCGAGCAACGGTCCTCCCGCGCGCTCACATCCCGTCAGCCGTTGAAGCGGACTGAGCTCGCGCAGAGACGCTGTCCTCCCCCCCGCCCTCCCCGCAGTCACTCGCGCTGTGCCGCACGCGCAGACCCTTCATTCGGTTGAGTCCCGCTCCGCTCTCGGTGTCACCGTTTTAACTTTCAGCTCGTTTCTCATGTCGGACTAAAAACGCTCGCGGTGAGATTTAAAGCTGCTCTCCTCCTCCTCCGCACACCTGAGCTCACCTGCAGCTGCAGCCGCTGGCATCATGGCTGACAGACCAGGAGCGGGAAATCATTCAAACTTCATATTTATTTACCTTTTCCTTTTTGTAGCCGGGTTAAGGTGCTGGCAGTGACCCTGGGGCTCAACTGCAGTCTGGACTGGATGTGTCCGTCTGGTAAAATTAAAGCTCAAGCCATACTGCCTGCCGCCATTAAACTTAATTAACTTAATTAACTTTATAGATCAACTTCATTATCTGAAGGGATCAGTTCTGTTCATTAACCCTTGAACTGTCCTTTAACTTTATGACAATAACTTGACCACCCTGCTGAAAAAGACCATTTATATATATATATAT